CTTCTTTTCGGAACATACAGCTCTACGATCACACGCGGAACCAGTTCTATCTGATATCGGAGGAAATTGTTTTTATAAATTTTTTTTTTAAATAAAGCATTTTAAATGCACAACAAACACATTTAATAAATTTCAATGAAAATTAAGGCCTTAATTTAAAAAAATTATTATTGATTATTAATGACCCTGTATAAAGCAGAACTATAGTTTTTCGATCGAGTTTTACAGATTATTTTCTCTTCTGGGGGCGGGCTCAACCAGAAAAACTGAAATCAGAAGAAAATCTGTAAAAAAATGTACTTAACATTTGAATAAATAGTTAAGTTGAATAAATAAAACACAAAAAATACATTTTAAAGTAAATAATTTGACAAACAGAATCTGAGAGAAGAGCAGAATTACTCTCAATGCCTTTTTTTAACTAAACGTTTTGCATTTCAAACAAAAGTTTCATTTGTGGGTTAAGTTTCTTTTCAAATATCAATTAAAAAAATGGGTTCTTTGCTTCCAGAAATAATGGAACAAAATTCACTCCATAGACATGCTAGGATACATGAATCCCTCATGCTGTTGGTGGTTATTGGGCGTTTTTGACATTTTTCTTAGCCTATTGATTCCTCCAGTACTGGTTATCAGGTTCTGCTGTGTGTCATAATCCAAAAGCTCAGCCTGGCTTAATTCAAGGTGCATATCGTTCCATTCATCCCTGCTATGAAGTTATTCAGATTATTCCTTGCTGCTCATCTTTTCTGAAAACAAACGAAGATGATCCAGCTCTTCTTCATTGGTTTCATTTTTAAATCTACATCCTCTAAAAATGGGAAAATGATAAATTCATCAACCAACAGCGTCTGTTTCACTGCACTTTTAGAAACATTAATACTCTTCAGGTTAAAACGGACATTACTGCCTGCAGCAGTTGTTTTTCTCCTTTGTCATGACTGGAATCTGCAAATTCAGAGCTTATGGAGCATCATTATGGGCCAGGATCAGTGCACCTCTACAGACATAACAAGAAATTTTATTCTGCATAAAAACTAAATCATAAAATAATGATGTATCCTCACAGAAATGCCTTTTAACACTTTACAAAACCAGAGAAGTGATGATCGATGTCTACAGATCTAAAGCAGCTAACCTACATCCTTCCACACATGAATCTACTGCACTGATAGTTGCAGCACCTGCAGCTGTAAACCACAGCCTCCTTGCTCTTTCTCTGAGAGGAGTCAAACAGCTAACAAACTCAGAGCTCACAACGCAGCTACTTTATCTACAAACATCCTCTGTGATCCAGACCTGCTCAGGTTTAATCAGCTGAACCCACAGACGGAAAACATCCCTTCTGACTTAGTTTCTTTTACCTTTTTAAAGCTAAATGGAAACCAGACCCCTCCCCCTGCTCTGTGCTGGGCTTTTAATGGAAAGCCCCGAATGGCTCGAAGCTGTGGAGCTCAGAGCTTCACCCACAGCGCAGCACCTTGGCTTCAAAGTGAACACGGTGTACTGTAAAGCAAGGGGGAGGAAGGGTGATGATCAGGTTGGAGATTTGAAGCTGAAATATTTTAGCTAGGTTTAAAATACTTAAAGTATTCAATATTACATTTATGATGTTAAATCTGGGATTTAGTTTATTACATGTTTATAAATACATGAGTTTAATACATGGAATAAACTCCTTTAGCTGTTCGGTGCCACAAAATAGTAAAACCTTAAAAAGGAGCACGCTGAAATTAGCCCAATGATCAGCTAAATGTGCCTTTGTTGTTAGCTTTACATTGTTCATTTTCTGTTTGGTTGGTTAACAAAGGTTTGTTTTAAACTGAGACTTCTGTAGCATTTTTAAATCAGTGTTACACTTTTATCATGGACAAAATGGACAAAATTGTTAGCATCTTTCATTTGATTAAAGAAAAAAACCCAAATGGTGACAGAAATAACTTGAATCTGACAGAAATGGTCCATGTTGAGTGTGGTACGCACCATGTGGCTACATCTAGCCCCATTTATACTGATTACTAGACTGTACACACCTGTGATGATTATTATTGTTTCTGGGGAAACAATTAGTCTTTTCAGGGCCTGTTTCATTAGTTTATTTTAAAAATCATTTTTTAAGAAATTAAACTAAATACTAAAATAATATTAAAGGTTATTAATGTGTTTAAAGATGTAAAAATGTGTTAGAAATAGAGAAAACCAAACACACTGCTTGTTGATGCTGTTTCAATCCAAGACTGAAACTACGAAAAACTTTTAAATCAAAGAAATGGTTTGAGTGTAACTTTGATGTTTTATCAGAATTTGTCTTTCAAAATTATTTATCACTTTTTTTCATGTTTTATTATTTCAGATATTATTTGTAATATTCTTTTTTTAACAGTTGAATACAAACGCTCGCTCTTGACCAATAAATGATTTTTGCTAACGTCTATGCAGACCAATAGGAAAGCGTCTTCCCTCCAGAGGAAAGCCCGCCCCCCTGAAGTGAAGAGAATGCGATCTGGAAAATACAATTTGAGAAGAATATTTGTAAAAAAAATAAAAAAAAAAAATGTAAAAAAATCTGAAGAGAAATTTGTAAAAAAAAAAAAAAAAAAAAAAAAAATTTTAAAAAGTAAATTAAACCACAAAGTTACAGTTTACTAAACCCTTTAAGATTAAGGGAGTTTTTTATATTTTCTTTCTTTCCTGGATTGTG